GTTCCCGTTCCCCGGTTCCCGGTGCCGGATTTTCCCGGTCCGTTCCCGTTCCCGTTCCCCGGTTCCCGGTGCCGGATTTTCCCGCTCCGTTCCCGTTCCCCGTTTCCCGGTACCGGATTTTCCCGCTCCGTTCCCGTTCCCCGGTTCCCGGTACCGGATTTTCCCGGTCCGTTCCCGCTCCCCGGTTCCCGGTTCCGGTTTTTCCCGGTCCGTTCCCGCTCCCCGGTTCCCGGTTCCGGTTTTTCCCGGTCCGTTCCCGTTCCCCGGTTCCCGGTACCGGATTTTCCCGGTCCCGGTTTCCCGCTCGCGCTGGCCCCGCCCTCAACACGCGCCGCGCGCGCGCCGCCAGCAGGGACGGACCAATGGGAGCTGAGGGGCGGGGCCACATGTGGGGTGAGGCCACGCCCACAAAGCCCTGCCCTATATAAGGGGCGGCGGCGGCGGGCCCCGCTCGGAGCGGCGGGCGCGCGGTCGGGTCGGGGCCGCTGTGGCCGTTCCGCGTTTCGCCCCGGATCCACAGCGGGATGTCCACACCCGCCTGTTCCCAGCCCTGACCCACTGCTGGGGCTCCCCATCGCAACAACCCCTCCTATCCCTGCACCTTCAGGAGCAAGTCTGGGCCTATCCTGCTCCGGCGGGGTCAAGGACAGGGCCCTGCCACTGCGTGAACAGTTCTGAACAACTCACTCACCCTACAGGAGGGGCCTGAAGTGATATTAAATTATTTTGTCACCTTAGTGGTTTAAACAGCCTCACCTTGGTCTGTTTCCACGGTTTAGAGTGGAACAGGGGCCAGATGGCCTCTCCTTATCTGGTGCTGGGAGCCCTGGCAGCCTCCCAGAGCCCTCCCCAGCCCCTCAGGACACACAGGACACTTTGTTCCAACTGTTTATTCACACGTGCACTGAACCCATGTACCATTCTATGAGCAAGCTGTAACTTAGGCTGGATTAAAAAAGCATTAAAAGCATCTCTTTCATTCCTACAGACAGCACTTGCTGAGTAACAGTTCATGAAGCAGCATCTGGAGGCTTGGGGCTGGATTTGGGTTGAGCTCACTCCTTCTTTACTCTTCCTTAAGGCCCAGCTTGTTCTTCACCCTCCAGGCCATGTAGGCGGCTGTGAGGACAGAGCAGGTGACAGTGGCCAGGAACAGGGCAGAGAAGTCGTGAGCCAGGTCCCGCTGCAGGGAGGAGTAGATCTCCCTCCGGGACTCGTAGTCCAGCACCACGGCCTCGATCTGCGCCAGCGTGCAGAGCACCAGCAACACGTGGAAGATCTGGTGGCTCTGCCCGAAGAAGTGGCACTTCTCGGGGTAGGGATGGGAGAAGAAGAAGGCGGCGACGAGGAAGAAGAGCACCTGGTAAGGACAGCAGCTTCCAAAATGTAAATATGGCCCGAGGACACGAGTCTGGGGTTAAATGACAATTATGAACCCACCAGGACACATCAGTGCCTGGCTCAGCCCCTTCCCTGTAGTTTGGGAACTGCTAAACAAACCAAGCATCCCAAACAAACCTCCCACTCCAGATTCCCCTTCCTGTAAACTGTTTGCAGTGTCTGTCCTTACAAATACCAACAAGTTACAGAGGCTGCAACTCCTGCATTTGGAGTTTTACCTCCTTTTTCCAGCTCCTGATTTTCCAAACAGCTTCCCACATCGTGGCCCTGTTGCACCACCAAAGTCCAGCAGCGGAATCTTTGTGAGCAGGAATCTCCATATTTACCTTTTGGAAGCTGCTGTCCTTACCCAGCGAAAGGCAGCCCTGCCAGCTCGTTTGGCCTTTTCATAAAAACTTATTGAGATTCTTTACCTGCTCTTGCTCAGACAAGTCCTGAAGAAAACCTGATTCACGTCCAGCTCCAGTGTTGATCTGTGCCTCAACCCCGGGCGAGTGCCCTCGTTTCAGGGACAAGGAAAAGCTCTTTAAAGTTTGGGATCAGGAGGAGGTGAGGATGGGACTGTTTGTTTTAAAAACCTCTGTAATTTCCTCATCAAAGCCAGGCTGTAACTCATTCCTGCCTGAATCCAAGGGGCACAGATGCAGAAAAAAAAACCCCAAACAGGTTCTTTGCCGCTCCATTTCCCTCCCTTTGCCCACCTCGCCGGGTCAGAGCTCGCACCGGGCTGTGCCAACGCTGAACCCTCCCGGAAAGCTGCGACTTTCTCGGGCTGCCAGGGAAAAGCTCAGCCCGTGAGCTCCTGCTCTGAACCGCAGCAGCCCCGAGCTCGGACAAACGCTGCCCGGAGAAGTTGCCTCAGTGGCGGGGAGGGGGCTCAGCTCAGCTCGACCCCTCCCAGAAGAGAAATTCCTGCGGGAAGGGCGGCCCCGGCTCTGCTCGGGGAGACGCCGTGGCAGGAAAGGGAGCGGGGTTTTCTTCACAGCTCGTCGGAGTAGGATTAAATTCGCCGAGCTCTTCCGAGCTGCCGAGCCTTGCACTCCTTACGAAGGGAGCGCATCCTGGAAATCTCCATTGCCTCGTACTCCAGATCGCACCCTCCGCCTCCCCACCAGCTGCCTCCGCCGCCCGGCGTTTCCTCCGCAGCGGTTCCTTTGCCCAGCAGCAGCCAGCGCTGCCGCTGCGTTTTTCTGTGATGATAAAGACTCGGCCCCGGCTGTTTCCATCCCTGTTTGCTGCCGCCACGCAGCGGCACAGCCGCCCAAAGCCTCCCAAAACACGGCCAGCTTTCATTTCCAACCCACCCGGCTCCGCTCAGCCCCCGAGCCCCGCAGAGCAGCCCCAGCCCTGCCGACCCTGCCAGCCCGGGATGGTTCTCCCTCCCCTGGGCTGAGCAGGGTGGGGACGAGCCGGGCTTTGGTTCCGTTCCCCTGCCCGGGAGCTGCAGAACGGACCCGGCCCGGCCCCGCCGCCCCCTCCGCCCGGGGGTCGCGGCCCCGCAGCCCCTTGGAGCCGCTGCTCCTCCCTTCTCATCTTTCCCTCCTTCCCTCGGCAGCTGGAAGAAGCCTTTTATATATATGTATATATATATATATATATATATATATATATATTTAATGAACCTGTTTCCAGCCCAGCTCCCCCCACAGGGACTCCGAGTTCTGCTTTCCTGCCCGGATCGTTCCCCTCGCACCCCCCAGGTCACTGCTGTCCTCTCCTCCCACCCCTCCGAACCCCCCAGGAGCACCAGAGCCGGCCCCGAGCCCCGGCTGAGCCCGAGCTCGAGCAGCAGAAGGGAGAGGAGGGAACAGAAGGGCCCGCGCCGAGCGCTGACAGCTCTGGCAAGCCCAAGCCTCACATTTAGCATCCATTTGGGCTCCAGCACCATTTGGGGTTTGGCAGAGCTGCCATTCTCCTCCCCCACGTTTGGAGAGAGGAGAAAAAACCGCACGTGGCATTCGGGGCACTCTTTCCTCAGTAGGTAACTATATTAAAATGAAGATCTGGGGGGTTTTGGTTGCTGGTTGTGCCTCATTTTGTACCCCGGAGCTGCTCCAGCCTCCATTACACCGTGCCAGCGTTCAGCCTCTCCCCTGGGTGCACTCCCAAGCTTCGGCTCAAAGTTCAGCCCCGTTTTGCTGCGCTCAGCCCGTGGGGCAGAGCCTGACCCCATTCTGGGCAGACCCTGACCCCATTCTGGGCAGA